AACCAATGCACCCGGGTTAGCCACGCCATCTCTGACGGGTCTATCTACAAAAAAACCGGTGACGACGTCCTCACACAAAACCAACACGGAAAGTCAGAAAAAAAACGAAAAAATTGGCAACACAGATAGAATTGTTTGTCCGTGCGCCACGGGCGATGTCGCCCGCATGCTCCTGTGCCACTGCTCCATCCGGCGCCGCTGTAGTCAGCCCGAGCAAAACGCCACTCGACCTGCTCCGTCCGTACACGCTCTCGTTGCTGTCCTTCCCAGTCGGTTCCTCGCTTTCTCCCTCGTTGCACTCAAGGTTCTTGGTCTGAAAAATAAAAATTCTCGCGCCGAAGGGGTCAACCAGCCCAGTTCAGCTCGTCGCCACCTGCTCCCTCCTCCTTTGATGGCGAAGCCAGGTTACTGAGGCAATACAGCTCCCTCTAGCAAACCTAGGGCCGTGTAGTGCCCGTCCACCTTTCTGATGGTGTCTGCCTCCGCGCACAAAAATGAGATGGGCATCACCGNCCACCACGCGCATGCCTCGCGGCGGATATGCGCAGCAGCAAGAAGGTTTCGGTCATCCCTTGAGGGTGAGTCTAGCCCTGCTCGCCAGAAAGACCCCCCCCTTCACTACAACCCATGTCTAAGCAAAAGCTTGTCGAGGAGCGAGGGGAAGAAGGGAGATACAAATGAAAAATGGGGTCCTTTGCAAGTTGACACAGAGCCCAGCGGCTGGAGCCGCCACGACTACACCAAGCCATCCTGCTGTATGACAGCTGACGTGGGAGGCGCACGTCCCTTGGTCTGTGGACCCCCTGCTTATCGTGTTGCGACATCTCCCACACACACCATTTCCTCTCAGTGATCCTGAGCTCCATCAGCCATGCGCGCAAACCGATCTCCTAGCAGACAAGATTACTGCTGTGGCGCCGTGTCCACCCTTTCTAAGGCCCGTGGGCTGCAAGTCCATTTACATCATTGACCAACGGGAGGAAATTTTGAAATGTTGGACACATTTTTAAGAATTAAAACAGAAGTCTTCCCACAACGTTTTCGGACTCGGTGTAATTCTCCTTTGAGCTATGAGCATTGACCACACACACGCTCGGCCTCCCGTGCTTCCTCCCTTGGCGCTCCCTGGAATAACCGAGGTGTCCACAGGCCGAAGCCGCTAGAGGTAATCCAGTTGTTGGGTGCTGGTGTGCTGTTCATGTGTCTGAGGTCGCCAATGTTAACTACAGACGCGGTTACGCTCGCTCTTCGCAGCTTCCTGCTGCCGTGGTCCACAGCCTAGTGGGTGAGCGCCGGTTTGCTTGTCTGTTTGGACCTTCCCGGGGGGCGGAAATAGCGTTTCGTAGTTGAGTGCTGCCATGTTTTAGCGTTCCTACCATAGATGTAGCATGCACCCTGCTCGAGAAACACGAACATGCCCCCTCTTGTCCTCTGGCATACAATACTGCTCTGCATACATACCTTATGTTGCTTAAGATAACACACCCTTGGACCAAGCTTCAAAGGTCGATTACTCCTCGACCAAGAGGATGCCGAAGGTAAACGGTATGGGTTCAGAAAACTCTCGATGCGATGGTTCCAACTCTGCCATTTTCGGCACCGTCACTGCTCCACTGCTTTCCCTGCCGAGTAACAAAAGCTTTGAAAATCGGTCCAGGGGGTGTGGTATCTTATGCGACCCACATACAGTATCCATAGCATACGCACACCGTACCGCTTCCGAGTACTGCGTCAACACCACGGCTGCAGTAGAGTATCAACTTTTGCTGTAGGCTCTCTCCTTGCGTTTTTCGCCTATGGCAGCGAAACGAACTGCCGTTGTCACAATCCACCCAATCCCATATTTTCTTGTACAGAAAATTCCAGTGTATGGGAGCTCGTGTATGGAACAGATTGGATGCCGTACTGACTGCTGTGGAGAGAACCAGTTCGTTCGTTGAAAAACCGGAATAGAATCAATTCCACCACATGGTCTCTGCTGCATTGTGCGGGGTATCGACATGCATACCATGGTAGCTGTTCAACTATTTCGTTGTTCCGGCGGACTGGATAGAGTGTTGGGGGGGACCTGTCTATCTTCCTGTGTTTTTGTTTTCTTGTCTTCATATCTTTGTTTGCTTTGTCGTTCGTTCTTTCATCCTTGCTTGACCCGGGGCTCAGCGGAGACCGGAACAGTTGTAAATGTGAAGACAACAACAACAACAAAACAACAATAACAACAACAACAACAACAACAACAACAACAATAACAACAACAACAACAACAACAACAACAACAACAACAACAACAACAACAACAACAACAACCGAACAAGTGCGGGGCCCCGTATTAGACGACAGCAGACCACGGTGCTGCTCTGGAAAAATTGTAGCGGACATGGTCTTGCTCTCGACAACTCTCTGCCTCTGTCGAAGTTCACCGTTCACGCAGAGCGCCTTAGCGCGCTACAGCAGCAGTGTAGCGCAGAGCAGAGACAACAAGCAAGGTGGACACACTGGGGACTTCTCGTAGTATGCACGGTTGGCTAGCATTAGTACGTCTACAGTATTTTCGTGCATTTTCCGGGAGACGCCAAGATGAGGCCCACACGTCGCACATGTTTAGCCCGACTTCAGGCTGGGCGGGATCAAAGATGTTTAGTTTGCTCACCACGGCGTATGGCACACGGCCCTACCCCCTTGGAGAAGGCTGCGTTGCTCGCCTCTTCGTGCTTTCTATTCCTTGAAACTATCCCGCAACGCTTTGCCCAAATCCCTTCTGGAGTGCGCCGGCACCGCGACAGGAGAGAAAGATGAACGCGGGAATAATTTGCTCAGAGCGTTGAACAAGATGAATGCCCCTGACTCCTACCCAGCGCGTCCGCTACCCGTTAGATTGGCATCGTTTTGTTTCGCCGGCGTTCGTTTTTCGCAGCTGACCACGCAATGGGGAAGTTGTTACGGAGATTGATCGCGTGCGTAGTAGCAACTGCCTGTATCGGCGTTGACTCCAGCAGCCGCCTTCGTGCCCAAGCACAAGTGGAAGTACTGCCTGACCCACGGACGAAAACCTCTGATGGCCGGTCCCAGTCCAACAGGCAAGTGATTGTTGATGATGACTGCTACCCGAAGTGTTTGTGATCCTTTGGCTTTGGCTTCTTGAGGACGGGGCAACTTTATGGTCGAAGCGCTGTTGGTCAACGTGTATGAATAGTCGAGGGTCGCCAAATGAGTTCGACGAGATGGCCCGCCACCCACCCAAGGCTGTTGAGCAGCGAAAACGCCAAACTCCATGTCGGTTGTTGTCGTGCGGTCAACATGATTGCGGCGTAGATACTGCCCAAAACCTGCATATCCAGGTGCCTAGTCGGTGCTTCAATTGGGTTTTGTTGTAGCACAGAAACAAGTATATTTAGGAGCAGGCTACAGGGAGTGCAACATCGTGCCAAGAAATATGCATTGCCCAACCCTACTTGACGAAAACACTCGGTAAAAGCACGTGAAGAGTAATGAACTTCTCCGAAGGTAAACGTCGTGACCGCATTATCACCAATCCCCAATAGGGTTTTGCGCACCAGGTTACTCATTGTCGGAGACAGAGTCGCCCAAGCGCAAGTTTCTAACGCGAAGTACCCTTTCATCTCACCCCGGAGATCGCTGCTTCGTTGTTGCTCTGTTCTGAGGGTCGTCGGCACGTGTGTGCGTTTGCCCGGTTCTGCACAGGACAAGTATCCCCCCCCTGTCGATTATATCTGGCGAGAATAGAGCTCTCCAGCATGCACCCGATGAGGCAAACTCCATTGAGCCCATCGCGAAACCGTTCGTGCAGGACCCAGGTGAGTGGACACGATGAAGATGTTTATTAACACTGCCGTTTTTGTCTGCGTGGAGTTTGAACAACCTCTCATCTCGCGACCCCACATCGCTATAAGACCACTACGCTGTGGACTTCTTGTATTGGCCATCACAGGCGCCAACCAACACTTCCTTATTGGGAAAGCGGACGGGGTTGAGCTCGTCGTGAAGCTTTGTGTCCTCTGCGGCCAACTTCAAAAACCCCGTGCAACCACCATCGTCCTGCACTGTGTCGAGTCCACTATTTGTCCATCCTTCTCCTCGCAGAGACATGCCGCGTAAGCCGCCTCCTGTTCCGCCCACTTTCCTGCGGTGCTCTTTCTGGAGCCCCAGGCATTGCCACCCCACGCCCCCTCTACATACCGTCACCACCGCCTACCACTTTCGACCCAAACATCCTGCTGTTGGGGAGCTCGTTGGTCTGCGCAGGGTGCTGAATCTGCGCTGAGGTGAGATCCGCAGCTCTCGCTGAGGTGGCCTCCCCAAGACCGGCTACGCCTGCGCCGCCAGCCACCCTCCCTGCCGCGTAGCACAAGAAATACGAAGCGTCGGGGTGGGGGTCCATCGATATTCAACATGGTGTCATCGGCTCTTCGCTCGGTGGTTCATGGGGGTTACAAGCAACGACGAGCACGTATCAGCTTATTCTTCTGTTTGACGAGCAAGTCATACTCATACAAAATGGCTGACGAAAACCTTTCGCACATGTCTGTCCACTCAGGCAACAAGGTGATCGAGCTTGCGCGTCCGTGCACGTTCAGTCACACGCACAGGACCCGCCAATTGCGGACTTGTCTAGAGGCTGCCGTCATGCAACTTATCTGATTCCCCAAACTCCGACAGCTCTATTGAGTATCCTATGGCGGCTCATTTGTCCGTTTCTCAAAATGCCGTAGCGAAAGGACAACACCAACCATCGATGCCGCGATTGCCTCCCGATTGCACAGGTACAGACAAATCGGGTTTCTCTCAAGTTTAAGAGAGCATTTCAAAGTTTCAATGTGCACTCCTGAATCCGTGAGACGAAACACTCTCCAACTGGTATGTTCGTGCTCAGCTACTTGAAGCTTGGTAGCGCGAATCGCGAATCGCTTTTTACTATGGCGTGTGTATCGGGTATGTAGTGTAACCAAGAATTGCTTGAAATTTGTTCAGCTTCCAAGCGAAGAGGGAACGGAAAGGCCATCCCGCCACAGACCTAGAGCCGCTGCAAAACCTGTTGGCGGATAAGCGGCTTTGGCCCTCCTACCCTCGCGGTGCACGCACACCAAGCGAAGGAAGACTACCCCGCAACGAGGAAGCCCACCAGAACCAGCGTGGAATTGAACAGGATGTGCTTGTCTGGTCCTGGTGTTTAATAAAGTCGAATTCATGGAGGAGTTGACGGGAGGCGGAGGATGGCAAAGGGCTGGTTGGCGGCTGAACAACAGTGTCCTTCGCTGGTTATCCGCCCGGTGTCTATCATCGTCGGTCTGCGCCTTACAGCTCACTTCGTTCCCTTCCCTGGAATTCATCTATTATCATTGCAAGCTTTTGGTCTCTTCGCGCTCACGTTCACTGGAGCACAACGCGGAATGGGCTCCTATCGCTGCGGCAATGACTTCAACTCTCCAACGCGACACCTCGATGCGGGCACCGGCAAGTACACCGCCCCGGCGTCGTGTTCAGCGTATTCACGCCAAGAAGCATCTCCGGCGCGGATTCGCGTCACTGTTTTCGGTCGCGACGGACGCGCCCGTGTCAATGACCACGACAAGCAAACAAGAACAACCTCGTCAAATAAATAAGTTCCCCCAGTGTTCCCTCGGGACTTTGGTCGTCTCACTCTTGTGAACCCACTCGTTGCTGCCCTTTGTAAACACCATTTGCTGTGCATCTTGTACGACACGGAGGGGAGGGGAGATATTCAAACCTGGTTGACTGTACTCGTGTAGGTCTTTTGACACCTGCCTCCCAGCGGTGATGTTTTCAGCGTTGAACACCACGGTAGTGGAGGCTGGGACACGTTCTTGGACAAGCACACCAATCATAATCACTCCAGCAACAGCAGCAACACAGCCCGCAGGAGGAGTAGGAGGAGGAGGCCACGCAACGAGGTGGGAAGTGGCGTGATCGCTGGGGCAGCTCAAAACAGTCCACTGTAACAGCTAGGAAACACGCAAGCCGTTAATAGAGGGCAATGCCCAATATTCGACTCCAAGCAAGGAAGCAAAAAGTCCTCCACGACGTTCGAGGAAATTTACCACGAGGAACCTGTCAGCCAATATGCGCGGATCATTCCATGTTCGCAACAATGACAGGTTCCGTTGAAGGACGCAACAACTTATATGTTCTCTCGCTACTGATACGGATGGTGTTCAACCACATCGTGCCGTTAGGTACGAGGTTGTTGGCTACGGCAGGAATGGTGAAGGGTACGAAGGGCAGGTGGCCCGAACGTGCTCATGTTTGCTGCAAGCCCAAACGTTGCCACAGGGTTGTCGATCGGCCCTCACAGATTCAAAAATGAACGAATTTCCTTCGCTGCGCGCGAATACACCGCGGTTCATCAAAGGTGATGTGGCCATGGTGTACAATCTCCTCACCTGAAGGAAAAAGCAAGCGCGGAGCCATCAACGTTGCCGATAATCGAACAGCTTTCGAGGGAATCTCCCGCGACCCACGTTCGATGATGAGATTTTCCTCCGCAGCAGACTGACCACGCAAGCCGTGAACTAGGCACCAAGTTGTTCCGTTGCGGCAGTAGCAACAACAGTGACACCTTCTCTTCAACCAGAGTATCCATCCGGTCAACGTAGTGGGACAACGCATGAGCTGCGCACTGGAAGTGTTATCCGAATTGGGGACTACGTCGAAGTAATGCTGCACAACAAGCATGCGTTGTCGGAGGTAGGTGTGTTGTTTTCGACGGCCGCTACAACTGTTGCTGCTGCGCATCGCAGACGCTGTTTCATTGCTGCCGCTCAGAAAGTTGTTGCCTATTCCGCTCCGAGAGCAATTGCTCCAACATGAGGCTCCGTCCGGGCAATGGTTTGAGTACCCTAGAAGCAGCACAAGTGGGATTAGTTGGCTCTCGTGATTTTCAACTTAAGTGGCAAGTGGCTCTTAAGTACGTGTTGCTTGACTGCTCCACACCGCAGTATCAGCCGCGGCACTAAGGGGCGACGCCCACACGTCACAAGAAAGAGGAAAAACCGGCCAAAAAGGCGTTCGCTCTGCGGTATTGCTTCAGTGAACAACTTCGATGCATCACCCAGCAACATTCCACGCTCGATTTTCACCAATTGCTTCATTTCCTTGGCGCTATGCTTGCGCTGCTTGAGATACACCCCTGCCTTATCGCGAGATATTCGTTGGCGATCGCCCACACACCAGTCGTGGGTGTTGTGGAGAAACAATACACCTCCTATCGACAAATCACAGCCCATAACCGAGAACGGGGTATATCAACAACCCGAACAACGACGGTGATCAAATCACTCCGCGCATCGGCAAACGACTGAATCCCGGGGTACCGTCGTTTCAATGGCAACGACTGACCCGTCCCCGAGGGCAGGACACTGTCGATTGTTGTAAAGGAGACACTGAGGCAACCACACACACATGTGGGAAGCATAGCCAGGACAATCAAGGCAGCAACGACTCGAGCTGAACGCCGCACCACAGCTCACCGGTCGAAGTTAGTGCATGGCCCCGTTGTCCCTGTGAGTTGTCACCAGCGGCCTTCCCTCGTTTTTCCTTGGTCTGCTTGTGGTGTCCCCTCTCCGATCGGCCCAAGCTGAATGTGTGACTGCGGCCCCTGCTCGTGTGACAAGGCTTGTCGCGCCAGAGAGATCGGCATCGCCCACACGCTCGATTGCCTCATGCATTTACTTTCGCCAACGAACGCGCCATGCGGTGTAGAAGGACAATGTGGTTGGTGCGGCCAAGACACAAATGCCATGCAATTTAAGCAGCACGATGTGCTACGGCGGCTCGGGCGTGGGGCACAGGCGTTTGTGCGCGGGACGAGGCATTCTATTCACTGTATATGCTGAGGTGCCTCGGGTTTCTTTGACTTCCGTCTTCCCGGTCAAGCAACAGCTGAAAAACTGGCCACGCCAAGAACTACAGATGTCGTTGTTTACCACCCCCGTGCCACCATCGATGCGAGGTTTCTCCGCAACCACACAATATTGCATACCCAACGGCAAGTCAATGATGCTGTCAACGCGTGGAAGAACCATGACGAGAAATCACTTCAACTTACATGGACTTCGGTGGCCTTGGTAAATAATCGACTCCAACAAAAAATAGCACTACACTGGCGGCGTCAAACCTTGTCCACGTGCAGATAACGTTTTTTTGTCGCGTTCTGAACCTAAGGCAGCAGATTAACTTGTCGATGAACCTGACCCGAGAATGTTAAAACACTCCTGCAAGGCAGATAACCATACTTGCAAAGGGTGTTTTTACATCGACGCTTCCGTATGGCGTCACTAAAACCGCTAGATCGTTGCGCTTTTCATATAGCTCTTGTACAGTGTATCGGGATTGCTGCAGAGCAATACCTTTTATGCGACAAACGTCCGAAAGCGAACGTCCTTGAGCGCCGGCATATGCGCTTGTTGGTGCCGACATTCTTCGAGCGAGCTGTAATTCTTCGCCACTGAACGCACCCCATTTCGGTTGTCGTTTCCCTCTCGCTTAGATGGCTTCGGGAAACCTGGACAGGGAATCTCTCTTGATGCGCTCGGCGGTAAGTCACGTTGAACACGTTCCCGGAGGGTGAAAACGTGGGAACTATGCTAGTTGAGTTGAGTGGGTGCGATGAGATATGACATCCTCCGAGTCAGGGAAATTCGCCCCTCGGTGGGTCCATTGTGGTATTGCCACCTCTGCAGCTTTAGACTCGCTCAACTCAATTCGAAAAATGCTTGCTCAAATCGTGTCCTCTACGTCACTCGCGTCTGTTTGAAACTCTGAAGAACCCAAGAGCGGCACGACTTGGCTGGGAAGAGTTGTGCCGGCGCTTGCCCTGGAGCTGTGCGGGAGCTTCAACAACCAGTGGTGCGAGCGACAGGATTGCTGGAGACCTTATAAGTCGCTTTTGAATTGTTGACTTCTCGCACACCTTTATGGCGTTCTCTAGGTCGCTCTGTTGTGGTCACCTTGTCCTTTTCGCAGTTGTACTCTCGCGTTCAGTTTGCACCATTTATATCGACCGCCGATGTTCGTCCCGTTGTGGTCACGTGGTGGTGGTGGTGGTGGTGGTGACACAATCTTTGCAATGCATCCCACCGGTAGGTGTCAGGTTGGAGGAATGACCATCATTCCACACCCGCCTGCGTCCTTGCACGAGTTTGAGCTACTGAAGAGAAACATCGGCGGAAGTGGCAGCCCCGAGCTCTTCCTTCACTTCAAGGTGAGGTCGCGACGATCACGCATGGTTATGGCGACAATCGATGAAAGACATTGCACGTGTTACTTGTGCCGTTGCATGGGAGGTCCCACACATCTAGATTGACTTGCAAAGTCAAACTACACACCGAGAGGTTGCACGGAACGACCGGATAGTTCCACAGTATTACATTTTTCTAGTGGCACTCTTTTGGCTGTGGAGCAGTTGATCTGTAACGTATGGGCTACGGCACGTGATCGCACACAATACGTACAGATTGGATATAAAACCTTCGGTAAGAAATCGACCCCAAGAGGGCGTGCCTGTATCCATCGATATTGCTTGCCATGTAAATAATCTTTGTACACGATATTCTTGGTCGTTACAACGGGTTTTCACTTTTTGGAGGCGAGCTGGTTCACTGTTGCATTGAGTACAATACGACCTCCTGTTCCGAACGAGCACAGTATTCGCACTGTAGTCCCAAAGATGTGTTATCTGCCGTGAATCCCGCCAAGGCAGGGAATCATTCGGTATCGTACATTCAACGACAGCATCAACGAACACACTCACATTTTCATGTTTTTCTAGCCTAGTTTCTGAGCCTGACACAAAGTCCCTAACAGTGGTGGTCCAAGTAAGTCAACAGAAAATCGCAACACCGAAGCTCCGTTCCGACCAACATGCTTTCAGACTGCCTCCTTTCACAGTTTTTGCGTTTTTGTTGTTTGTCTGGCGCCTAATGGTGTTGGTGAAAGGGGATCCATAAGCACATCATCCCCGGAATGGATCTCGGAGTTCCTGTCTCCTGCCGCAATGGGGGGCGGCTTCACAGGGATTATTTTCTTGACCTTCAACCGTGCGCATCAGATGAAATGCCAACCAGGGATCGGCTCGTTTCTTGCCTCTACGATACATCTGCCAGCTGTGTTCGGCATATGCCGAGTGCGGATCCGGCCGTTAGAAGGTGAGCGATGCAGACGTAATGAATGAATCCACTTAGCGATATTGCACGTTGAAGACTTGCTTGAGGTTGGTTCGGCACTAACAAAGGATCTGGGTTACTGCCGTACTCACATTGGGACGGCCAGGCACTTCATTACATTTGCTGATTCCGTGGAATGCAGTCAGATGTTTTTCTTGTCCATACTGACTCCGATCTGCATTAGCTTGGCTGCATGCAGCCATATCCACTGCTGCATTGGGCTGCCCGACAAAGGCTATTGATATCCGTGAAAGGCACGAGCTACTTGCTATTTGATAAAGGCAAAGAGTTTATGCGGGCACATGTGGTGGGCTGGAGGTTTTCTGAATTCCTCGGTTATATCTGTCTTTATTGGGACCATCGTTTCTCGGGTTCAAAGCATGTTGCATGCATGCGGCGACCATCGCGATGGTTTGGAGAGCGAGCAAATGAGTGGGTATCGTTCGTCTCAGACATCCCCCCAATTGGCTGCCAAGCAGCTGCCGAATTCGCGTAGTATTTCCCCAACTGATTTCTGCCATTTTGCTTTTTTGAGGGACCTCTATAAGCGTCTGGAAAAAACGTCCAATTTGTTGCCAGGAAGTCGTGTATTCATGTAGGCTGAGAATATCAGCTGCCATGGCTATCCTGGAAACAAGGCTATATCGGTTTCGTGGGAGTATCAGTGAATCACGTATCGGGTTCAATCCGATCAACAAGTCGAAATAGAGAACATGTATCACCGCAGGAAGTCTCATCATTATATATCGTTTGGGGTCGGCATGAAGCAAGCGATAAATTTGCGCTGCCGTGTGACTCGCCCACAGGCCAGCATTCCTCATTTCCTTCGGTTTATAGAGTTCATTTTTTTTTCAATGTGTGTTCCGAATATCAGCCTGTGCTGGCTGGCGAGTGCAGATTTTCTTCCGTTCACAGCTGGTTCTACTCTTACGTTTCTCTTGGCCCGGGCCCGCACCGCTATCCCAGCGGTTGCGTTCCAACACTCACTTCGTGTTGCGGTTGGGGTGCACACCCAGTGCTTTCAAAGAAGCAGTCACAGATCAGAGTGCTGTCCAATGCGTGCTGTACTTCTTGTTCTGTGTTGTTCTAGGGTGCATTGTTGAGTCGTCCTTTCGCACATGCCGTCTCAAACCCTTGTCGATGAATCTGGCAGGTCAATCGTCATCATGCGTGATCCACGCAACGTGGTGATATCAGAGTATATGATGCGAACTCAGGTTATCGAACGAGAAAGGTGGACAAGGACGTTTTCGCTAGACGAGTTCATCATGTGGAAGTTCGAGGTGAGCCATGGGATAGCCAGTGTATGTTGCTGGCAACGTTGGATCGAGCTCTGCATCAATATTAGCACATTCGACAGATTGTGAATCCCATGACGGTACTGGGTACGAAGCGAGACGTTTTGTGACGGGCGTTTGCTTGTATGCGCGTTTCACCCTCGAACGGAAACAAGATATGACGAGGTGAAACGGGACCAGTGCATGATGCGTACAGTGAGATAGCTGTCCCCCCCACGAGGATAGTCGATCTCAGCTGTACTGGTGCAACGTTGTGTGCTCATTTGTTCTGCATTTCATGCAGGTCCTAGTCTCGTGGATACATCAGCGGTATATGTGGCACACGGGCACGCTGATGGGACCCTCGTCCCATATTACAGTCTACGAAGAGTTGCAGGTTTGCACATGTTCTTTGTAGGGTCATCCAACGTCGTCATTGATTTGGTTGCCCAAACCTCTCAGCCGAACACGTACGCAAGTTCCAAAATCTCAAATGTCTCGGCCATGGTGCACTCTTCAGGTATTGCACTTCATTCAGAGTCTCCCGTGTTGCTTTTTCCACAGTATATTCATGTATATCCGAACGTGCCTCCTGCGCCACATTTTCCCCCACTCTGAACAATCGTTATCATTTCCCAACGTTGATACCAACTCGCAGAGAAGCCACCTGGGTCTGATCGATATCGCTGGTTTCATGGGCCTTCAATGCTCGGAACAGCAGGCAGCGAAAGTGTGGATCGGTCGCAGACACCCGTCGCCTAGTGGAGGCTACGCTTCCCGCGGCCTTTCCGTGGAGACTGTCAGTTTCATGAACGCAACAATGGCGAGGCTCCTTCCTCCAGCCCTAGCTCTTCGATGGGATGTTACACCGACCGAACTCTGAAACAAGGGAACGATAGGTCTACTAACGATTGCGCCCATCATCGAGAGTTGGGTGATGGCTGTCAATGCGATTGGCGTTGCGATGTTGTACACGATTCCCCCCGTATTTTTATCCGGAATTCCGCCATGTGGAGACTGCACAATCCTCGGTTTCGCGCCACTGGCCAGGCATGGAATCTGCACTGTACTATGTACATGTAAGCCCACGCCGTTTCGCAGATGGATTGGTGCGTGGTTGTGGGTCTGCAGTATGACGTTGCAATGCCGGCCTGTGGTGATCTCAGCCACATCAGAACGCGAATATTCAGATCACGCGAGAGCAAGGGCAACAGAAGTAGTTTGAAGAGAGTATGCACAGCATAGACACACACCTACAGATAGAGTCTGAAAAGCCGCCAAGGGCAGGAGCTTTGCGCATTGAGGCAATTTTTCATTGAGGCAGGAGATAGACCTCTCGCTATCTAGATTTGACACATCAGCCGGGGTAGCACAGGAGTATTTGTTGTTCCCCACATTTGTTTCCTCCGCGGTACTTGTCTATATGCTTTATCGCGAGAAGGATACGAAGACTTAAGTGTGTATGCCCACGAAAGAAACCGTTTTCTACTGCAATTTGGAGGCGAAGAAATGCATCCAGAGAGAAACCCACAGACTGTCATTCTACTCTGTATCGAAGGAGGCGAATACAAACGAAAGTACCCCGTGCATGAGAGGATTCACGGGAGGACTCCACACTTGTGCTCGGGTCTGCGGCAACAGTTTCCGGCCCGTGTCGTGCTCGATGCAAGAAGCATGTACGGACATGATCTCCAATGCGGGAGCTGTGCATAAGGTATTAATGAGTTTGGGAGGGTGCTCCTTCTTCGCCGTAGCACCGGCTCTACTCTGTTCCTTTGCTATCCCGACGATTTTGCAAAAATGAATGATTCCACGATCCCTGTTAACTACGTGACAGACAACACGTGAAAGCACTACATAGCGGTCGCCCCGGAGGGTTTGTGGATACCCTCGCAACCTGCAAAGGGCGAGGTCAAGGGTTCGAGTCCCGGCAGAGTGAGTTTTTTTCTCAATCGTGGTGTCCGTTGGAAGCGACGCGCTGCACAGCTCGTCGTTATTAAATTTGATCGACTTCATCAGTCGCGAGAGAAGGGATTAGACTATTGCTGTACCCTTCTCGTTACGAAAATCTTAGGCAGGCACCGCAGGAAGGGGTCCGACCCCCCCCTCCTATGTGACCCCGGTTGGGTCGTCTAGCTAGTAGAAGTGGAGGAGGGGGCCAGAGGGGCAGACGACAGAGTACAATGATGGGAGAAAAAAATAAAAAATCCTATCCGCAAACCCGCTGCTGTGTGTCGGATGCCACCGGCACCCCCGCTTTCATTATCACGATGAAAAGTTGAGAAAGCGAGCCCTGAACGTTTCACCACCCACACCCGCCAACAGACGTCCAGGGAAGCTGCGTCCGTGTTCATAAAAAGGAGGTCGTGCATCGAGTACAGAAGTAATACGGTAAGTGACACAGGGTAGCGTTCATTGCCGCCTGCTCAAAAAAACGTAACAACATGGTTTCCACACGGAACAACATATTCGCCTGATTGAGAGCGAAGTATCTGATTGAGAGCGAGAGCCAAAAAAATTGAAATTTCGGGTCCAGACGCCTCTTGCCATTTCTTGGCAAGTAGGGGACGGGCTATTCCAAGAAGCGGTGCAAATTGAAGGTCTCATCAGCAGCTTCGCGAGCATATGCGTGTCATCGTCATCGGATGCTGCAGCGAGGAGCTAGACAAGTTGCTAGATTTGCCCAGATTGGCTATTTCTGCTCAAACTGTTTCAGGGCGGTATCGCGTCGGGCGGTGGGCTCTGCTGTAGCTTCTGCTCCCCGCTGTAGCTCCACAACGAGAGACTCCCACAGGATGACCAGGGTAGCGGCTTGAAGCTACGGGCTAGCCCTTCAATTCAAGCTACACAGCAAGCTCCACCTCTCAGTGGTAGTCCGGCTACAGCGTATCGCGCAATCTCGCTCTCAATCAGATGCTACGCTCTCAATCAGGCGAATATGTTGTTACGGGCTGACCCGGCGATGGAAGTCCAGAGTAAGGTCGTGAGGACTTCACAGGTTTTCTGACGAAGGTACTTCGGGTGAACAAAGATGCGCAACTAAACGGGGCGGAGCGTGCAGGATAACACAGGTGGCCAGTGGGCACGGTTACGGGGGGGTTAAGTGACTTGTAAAAAACCTGTAATCCCTAGTCTAGGCGTTGTGGAACCTGCGTAACCCGGTCGGGCGCACCGTTGCCAACCTCCAAGGTCAGGCAGGGTTCGGGAACGCCGAACAAAACCCAGTTAAGGGACATTTGTATCTGTGCTTGGTTGCAGGCGAGGTTGTCCAAGCCCGAGAATGTACATGCCTTGTCGCGAAAACTATGAACCAGCCGGTGTCCACAGAGTACACGACACACCGATTTACTGGACATTCGCGGCAATAAAAACCAAAAACTTCAAGAGTGCCGACATTTGTAAGCCCGATTGTATAGATGACTACCGTTAGACGCTCAACAATAAAAACAGTACATACACCCCCCCATTTCCGCACCAGTACTATTTTCGAAGGAACGTCCTCCTCGCCGCTGATCTGTAACTAACTGCCCACCGGTCACCCCGCGAGTAGCCCCTCACCCCTTGGTGAGTGCTTATAATCTTGCAGCTGTCGCGTTTTGGGGCCTCTGTTCTTACACCACAAAGAAAGGCGGGTTCGTTCTTGTTTTTAACACGACGTCGGTCGGGCCTGAGCACGCACGCACGTGTTGTCATTATTGTGTGGTCAATTTCTTTGATTTTAATTTTTTTCTAGGCCGCATTCCTTAACTGCCAAGTTCTGAAGTGCGAGCGCCATCTTTATCTTCTGACCATTATGTAGTCTAGTGCCGGAAGCAACGTAGACATGGGCCTATTCTAGTTGATATATATATATATTGTTGCGTAGAAACACGCACGGCAACGATCGAGGGGCAACGCAAAGACTGAGAAAGAGAGAGGGAGAGAGTAGGCGATGATATACTATAGACATACGCTGCCTCTCTCTGTAAAAGTCAATACGAAAACACGTACGTACGTACGTCTGTCTCCAAAATATATAATATTATTATTCAATATCGAACATAGTATAATAAAATGTAAAATCTCTACAGAAAAGAAGTGCGCGCTCAGCACTCAATAATTATATACTTAACAACATATTCGCCTGATTGAGAGCGAAGTATCTGATTGAGAGCGAGAGCCAAAAAAATTGAAATTTCGGGTCCAGACGCCTCTTGCCATTTCTTGGCAAGTAGGGGACGGGCTATTCCAAGAAGCGGTGCAAATTGAAGGTCTCATCAGCAGCTTCGCGAGCATATGCGTGTCATCGTCATCGGATGCTGCAGCGAGGAGCTAGACAAGTTGCTAGATTTGCCCAGATTGGCTATTTCTGCTCAAACTGTTTCAGGGCGGTATCGCGTCGGGCGGTGGGCTCTGCTGTAGCTTCTGCTCCCCGCTGTAGCTCCACAACGAGAGACTCCCACAGGATGACCAGGGTAGCGGCTTGAAGCTACGGGCTAGCCCTTCAATTCAAGCTACACAGCAAGCTCCACCTCTCAGTGGTAGTCCGTCTACAGCGTATCGCGCAATCTCGCTCTCAATCAGATGCTACGCTCTCAATCAGGCGAATATGTTGTTACTTTTGTTTTATTTCAAATTGAAGAGGAGAATTTTTTACGATGTAAGTGACAGTAGAAATAAGTCCTGCATATGTTGTTGTACTTCGTATTTGTTTAATATTCATGTAGAGTATGACCCATTAAGTGAAAGTTTTCTGAGGTACATCTGCAATTGTCGGAAGGCAAATATATATATATATATTTCGTATTTATGTTGTTGCTGCTGTGGAACTTAAAAATTTAGCCGACCAAAAACTTGCCATTGAATGATTGGTAATGGAAGACATTACTCGGAGTTTCTGCCTTTTGCGTGGGGGGGACGGCAGAATAAGTGTGCTCTTATCGGCCGCGTGGGTGGTGTTGCCAAAACTGTTCCCGCCGCGATCACCATAGAGTCATGGAATTTGCGAGGAAGACGTGAAATGCTTCAGCATATAGCGTAGGTAGGGGTGTACCGTTAACTGTTACAGATACAGGTTGCTGGTCCGATCCCCCACGCGACTTGTGTTCTTGCTGCGCTAGTCGTCTCGAAAGAGAGGAAAGTTGTCTGACGGTGTATCGCTTGATTAACGCAACCGTAGTGTACGGTTGCGTTTAGAGTGGAATGCAATGGGAGAGGGGAAAGCTCACACATATATCTTCTTTTCTTTTTTTCTCCTTCACACCAATCCGCGCATAACCGCTTTCATAACCCGGCACGTTATGCCCGCTCGGCCTGTAACCCCCCCACGTTATCCCATGTAATAACTCCTCGTTGGCCGGAGGCTACACAACGCCCCCGTACAACCGTGGCCACTGGCCACCTGTGAAATCCTGGGTTCCCGTTCCATGGAACACGACGCATCTCCATCACAGAGCGCAGCCCGGATGCACCATTATTATCTATCCAGCGGCATCATCAACAACACGCGGTGCAGCGGTGGTGATGTGATGGCAACGTTGAATGGATGTACATTTGTATCGATCTCGTCGACGAGCGTAACTCATCGACCGTGGTCGTGTGATGCGGCCGTGAACACGTCCGTTATTTTCCACTTGTTATTTGTGGCGCAAATGTTGAAGGCATAATAACTCATGTGTGAGCAGCTTCACAATGCGCCATGCATTTTCTATTTTTGTGGCTCCTCCGACGTTGCAACTTTCCCCAAACGCCAGAAGACTGCGAATATATGTAACAACTCAACCACCACGGCGACCGACTCGCACAACGAGACTATGTTGGAGGCAGCGTATGTATAGACAATAGTACATCTTCGCCTACTCTCGCTTTCTCTTTTTCTCGGTCTTTGCTTTGCCCCCGATCGTTGCCTTGCGTGTTTCTATGCAACAATGTATAGACTATATATCAAATAGAGTAGGCCCATGTCTATGTTGCTTCCGGCACTACATCATGATCAGAAGATAAAGATGGCGCTCGCACTTCAGAACTTGGCAGCTAAGAAATGCGGCCTAGAAAAAAATCAAAATCATCAAAGAAATTGACCACAAAATATCACAGGTGGCCAGTGGGCAAGGTTACGGGGGGGTTAAAAAAGTAACCTGA